TCCCATCATCTAGTGCTTCTCCTGACCCCCCACCCCCACCCCACCCCACCCCTCTCATTGCCTCTATCCTTACTGTCCCTGCTAGCTAGACCTGTCCGTTCACGGTGGTTTCAGCGTTTACAAACAGCTACTGTCAGCCCCAAACGACAAGTGTGTGACATCTATTTTTATCCTTCGGGCCTCTGTGGGAAATGTAGCAGGGCTTACCGTTTGACGTAAGTCGTCTCAGAGAGAGACTGCACCATCTACGACATCGTTGTCGTGGGCAATGTAACCATCTGTTATCGGGTTTGTTTGGGGTTTTTTTTTCAAATATATTTTCTTTTTAATGAATGTAGAGAGGTTTTTTACGCTTCTCATCAACGACTGAAGTTGGATCATTTACGAGACGACCCTGCCTGGCAGGGCCAACCCGAGCTGTGAGGGATACAGCGTCTCAGAAGAAATCCTGAAATACATTGTACTTTACAAATAAAATTTCTCCCCTTGAGGGAATCGGACTCGGGTCTCCTGCGTGCAACAGCGAAGCGCCTAACCACTAGAACACAGACGCTGTGTTTAAGATTAATATAGTTCTTCTGCTATTTTCTCGCTAAAACCTCTTGAAGTACATATTATTATCTTAATATATGAAGACAGTGGATTTGCACCATCGCCAAAGCTATGATTCAAGTTGCATAAACAATGAATCTGTCAATTGCAAAAAATGTTGACGTCATCAAACTTTGCGTTTCTTCCGAATTTGTTTGCTGTTAGGCAGGCTATGTGCTTTTGATACCACAGGCATTGTCTTCTTGCTGGCATAATAGTTTTGGCTGATGGGCCGTGGGCAGTTTGATGAGGTCTGCGCCGTCTACTTCTTTTCACAGTAATCTTTGCCTTGGTCTGTCCTTGGTAATACACGTGAATTGACTTTACGGCTGATTTTTTTTTATCATAGGTAGGCCTATTGTTGAAAATCATTCCAACCTAAGTAGACGGCTTAGGTGGTGTCATCCTTTTCTCTCTGACTATGGATCGGGAACTACATTCTTGAAAGTTTTTTTACATTTAAAAAGTAGGGCTTTTTTTGCAGACTCTATCCTGTATGCCTTTGTACTGCCTGTATACTCACATAGCTAAATGCCATTGCGTAAAGCTAAGGGCGCTCGAGCGTCTTCTCAATAATGCACTGCATTTCTTTGGAAATAAAGAATATGCCAATCGAACGTCTAACTTCGCTACTGGCTTCTGTAGGTGCGTACAGAATAGATCGTATAGACGTTTAATAGACCGGAGAACTAACATAAAACTCTCAAAGTCAATCACACACACACACGCACGCACACACACACACACACACACACACACACACACACACATACACACACACACACACACACACACACACACACCCAATGGATAGGGACACAATGGGGTCATGCGTCAGTCCGGCTAGTGTCCACCTCTTCGGGCGCTCTGAGCGTGACGTGACCACAACGGTCAAGCGTGTCCACTTGCGGACCTGGTTCTTGTGACAGGGTACGAGACGGCTTCCCCTCTCAG